CCATTCCGTAGATATTCGAGAAAAAAAGAATTTTGCACGTAGCCGAGACTCGTCCTCTAACTGGAAGATCTCAGCCTTCGGCACAGCAACTTTAGAGGGAAAAGTTAAATATGTCGGATAATTAAAGTCCCACGAAGACGTGAATGGTCAAAATGGCGTGCCACGGACCTGCGAAATCCAACAGTGTGTTTCGCTAAGCCCGGGGGCCAGCCGTTTCGGAGGAGATGATGTTACTTCACCCCAATATATATGCGGCTTAGGTATGTTTGTCGCGTGTTTATGGTTGCCTTGCGTAACTGTTACGCAATGGGGTGAAGTTGCCATGGACAGGATGCCCGTTTCGAATGAGACGTAGGCAATTGCCTGTAAAAACTTGCCTTGGTATGACCTCAATAAGTTCAGGGCCAAAACGCTAAGCAGTGGATTTTTTTACCTGAACCTGCATTGGACACGGTCAATTATGTGCCTGTTCAAGAGTTCGTGAAAAAAACGGACGTAAAGTAAAAGAATGGATGGTCCTCTGCAAGGCGAGCTTAAAAGAAGGAAAGATCTACACAAGAATGTTGTGTACGAAGAGATCTTTGATATGTGAAATTATTAGTTTAATACTTTATTTATTGACTAGTGTTGGCTTAAGAAAGGCCTATAGTGCTTTCCTTCATTGGACTCTTTTAACCAAGCATGAAGCAAGTAGAAGGTGGGAAACCCCCGTGGGGCAGTAAGCAAAGGGGGCGTCCCTCGCCGCCTGCCCTGGGTAATTCAGTTTGAATTAGCAGACACCTTTGCGCAAATCATTTTAATTACAATTTATAATATCTAGAACAGCGGTCATATGACCGCTGGGCTTTCTAGTACATATATATATAGAGAGAGAGAGAGAAAGAGAAATGGGAAAACTGGTCAGACTGTCGTCTTTCAAACTGGGAAAACCGTACTTTAGAATTTAGTGAAACAAATCTCGTCGTCATCTACTGGTAGGCAACACTATTCAAAGAAGGACTATCTATATAGCCATTAATGTCAAAAATCAAATTATATAAAAAATTGAGCTCTTTTGTTTAGTTTCAGTTTAGCTTAATGAATTGACAGTTGCACTACTGTTTTCAAGTGAACTTGTGAAGATTCTTTTAATTTATCTAACAGTTAATTTTTATTTTAAAGCAACTTTCCCTTCATTCTCATTTTTACCCACCTTTTTTGCCAGAATGTTAATAAGCTAGCACGCGTTTATTCAAATGCGGTAGAAAGTAGTAATATTTATGGAAGGTTTTGGAAGGTGATTTTAGAGCTTGTATGCTTTTTTGAAGGCCAAGTTGCTATCTTTATTTACTAGCGATAAGGTTTCGTGGCTATGAGCGCTTCTAGCCATTAAGCTTGTTTACGCCACTTCTACGAGTTAGAGCCTTCCTGGGCGTTGAATTATCCTGTGAGCCGATAGGCTAAACTTATGGAAATTCATTTTATTTCAAGTTCATTTACATTTACCTTCTTTTTTAAGTTCATTGTTACCTGCTTTGAGTTAAGATAGAAGTGTTACCTTTGCTTACACCAAGTGGGGATCATATGTGAAATTACATTGAGTAAAAAATTCTTTATATCCTTCTTCTGACTATTTTGGCATAATAAGACCTGATGATACTTCTTCACTCAGTCTTTTAGGTGTCCTTAGTTTATGCTACCCAAAAATACGAAACTCACCAAACTATTGTGATTTCACTTGAAAAAAAGATTATATTTTTATTAACCCTTTAAAAACATCAAATAGTTTAGAAAAGATCTCATATTTCTTTGAATTAAGAATTTTTATTAGGTCTATGTCCGTCAATGCTATGCACGTACAGAGATATTGTACCACAAGATGCTTGTGAATGCTGAATAGACAATGAGCAAAATTTGGATTTCAGATTTGTGCAAAATTGTGAAATAACTTCACAGTAGGATGCATCGTCAAGCAATGGCCTCAAATACCCCTGGCTTCAGTAAGAAAGATTCACTCGTTAGTATGATGCATCGTAAATGACTAGTCTCAAATACTTCCAGGTACACTAAGAAAAAAAGAGTTTACATCGTCAACCATTGGCCTCAGATATTTCCAGCTCCAATAAGAAAGATTGACTCCGAAGTATGATGCATTATCAAACACTGTAACCTCATATACTTCCAGTTCCACTAAGAAATATTTCAGACTAAACAACTGAAATTGTCGATTTTGTCAACGAAAGAACTGTAAATATTATTTCAAGCCATTATTATGTATGGAAATAGATAGTGACCACCATCTATTTCCACAGTTTTTTTTACCCCGCATTTCCACAGTTTTTTTACCATGCAACTATCCAGCTGCTTTCAGGAGACAATGCTAACTACCAAATTGTTGAAACTAAGAGATAAAATCAATTTTTTTTTTAAACTGCTGGGCAAGATAAAAATTTTCCCTGACTGGAAAATAAGGAATGGATAATTTTGGACGACATTTTTGGACAGCTGAATAAATTTATCTTTTAATGCAAGTAACTTCATAAAATCAATTTAAAGCATGCTAGAAATCTGAAAGAGAAATATTTCAATATAAGAAGACCTGTTATCAGTTCTTGATTCCGTTAGAAAAGAACAAGCTTTTCCGCAATTTCTAAAAAATTTAATTTTACAATATTTGAAAGTAACATATATTGAATTGAATCGGTATTTTCCTGAATTCAGAGATGAAAATTCAACGAGAAATCCGTTCGTATGCGTTGGTAAAAGTTCCTGATGAATGTTAAGATAAACGCCTGGAGATAAAGACCGATTTAAGGGTAGTAAGACATATGTTTGATATGAAAACAATCACAGAATTTTGGCCCTTAATTTCCATATGCTATAAAACATGACAAAGAAAGTTATCCATGTATTTGTGTCGATATAAATTTGTAAGTCAGATTTTATATTGAGAATTTAAAATGAATAGCGAAGTATATTGAAATTTGTGGACGATCTACATTGATCTCTTTTAGAAACATTTAGATGCATTTAAGATTTGATGAAAAAAAATTATGACTTGTCCATTATCGATTATATGTTTTCTTGAGAATGTTTCTTTTATCTAACTGTTGACTGCATTATTTTGAGTAAAATGGAATTTATTAATCAATACACAAAAACACGGCACTTTGCATTATCTTGACTAAAATGGAATTTATTAATCAATACACAAGAACATGGCACTTCCCCCCTTCTGTCAGGATTAAGAGGAAAAATAATTTTAAATGGCAATCATTTACGATTTGTTTGTTAGATATTTAACCACATGATGATGAATATCCGGTCGGTACCTGCAAAGTGTTACAGAGTTACTCAAAGCAATGCAATAAGCATCGGATAGATTTGAAGGCAATAGTTAGAGAAATGAAAAGGCGAATCGTAGTACTGAGATTGTAGAGTCATTAGGAATTCTTTTATACGGGAGACGGGAAAAATGAGCAATGTCCTCGGCGGGACTCGAACCTGAACCTCTCGAATAAGCGCCGCGTGTGCTATCGTTACACCACAAAGGCATGCATATAGGAAAGAGAAAATACCTTATATACTCCCGCTTTTAAAGGGTGACTGGGAATTAGCTGACCGCTTGCCAAATCCTAGTGGTGAAGAATTATCATCCACCACCTTTTTTAGTTCAGGCGCCACTGTAAAGTCATTAGGGTTTTTGAAGCAGACCTGAAAAATGAGCACTGCCCTCGTCAGAACTCGAACCTGGATCTTTCGAATACGCGCTGTGCTACCGTTACACCACGAAGGCATGCAGAAAGGAGGGAGAAAAAAAAATCTTATAAGATAATCGCCGCACTAGTTATGGCACTGAGAAGTCACACTGCGGCGGTATCAAGATGAACTTTATAACACGCAGGTTAAGGCAAGGGTCTCGTATAAGGTCGATGGGTTGAGGCATATAACATCAATTAGCAGTGATTGCAGTCCACCGTTGGCGATGTTGTACGGCGCATGGAATACGGAGATATTTGAATAATTCAATGCAAGCACAGACAATTTTGATTGATTCGATTGGTAAAATCAGGTTTGTAATCAAATCGTCCTTTTCAAAAACTACAACTGATACGAAATCATCATTATGAGAGCTTCCACTGTGTAAGACCAGATGAAGTAGGTGATGAATAATACAGAGCTTTAACAAAATTACCAGTATAAATTTTCCTTCCTTGTACATTATGTTTGCAGTAAAAAGTGGTTTGGGGACCTCCTACAAGCAAAAACCTTAGCTTACAAGTAACGAAAGCTTATTTGCTATTAATTTTTCTTTAGAGGAAGTACTTTTAAAGATTGAAAGCTGTTACCTTATTTAGCTACAGCTAAATGAATGACAGATGCAGCAAACAAAAAGCGAATTTAGCAAATTTCCAAGAAAAGAATAATAGTTAACAAGGACGCCTTCCACTGAGAAAGGAAAGAGAAAAACAGTGAGTAAAAATAACAAAGGAAGTCGTGGTAACAATTTATTAAGGAACAATGAAATACTATCACATTTATATCTATTCATAGATTGGTGGAAAATGGGGGTTATAAGTCATTCACTGAATTATGTATATGAAATCTCAGGAAAGTCTAATTTGTCAACTGAAAAACTTTTTTGGTTGATTTTGGCAGAAAAAAATGTGAATTCGCTATCTGCAGACCTCTAATGCTGCGTAACAGATTACTTACTTGTTTCCTTGTCTTTTTTCTTCCTTTTTTTTTAAATAAGATTCATATTCTTGAATACAAAATTTTAAAGAGCGTTTTATTTGCCCAATGTCCACTAATGTGAAAAACTTGAGCAACAAATGTGTATTTCAACATACAACCAGTACATCATACGATCAGTACAATGGAAACCCAATTCTGTAAAAAGGCGATGCATATGCAAATATCAGCATCGTGACGTCAGAGGATATGTCACGGCATGCAAAACATGAGGAATCAGCGCGTGTAGCACAGAGCAACTTAAAAAGAAGAAAGGAAGGCGCATTTTCAGGAATTCTTTGCAGAAAGCGAGATTGTACTTGCAATAGGGCTACAAGAAAACACCAGGATGACTTTACACGTGTAGAATGATCGGCAAGCTTGAGGAGCAAGTATTTTGACATCTGTCGCCGAAGAGTTTAGAATTGATAAAAAAGATCTTTCACTGAATTGAAAAGCCTTCCAAACGACAGGTACAACTGCAAAAAAGGTTGGTGGTTGTCGGCTAAGGAATGCAATGGTGTCTAATAACTAGTGGTATCGCTCTGCAGGCAAAACGAGATCAGAACTAGACAAAGGACAACTCTGCTCGGCAGTTGCGCATTACAACCGGACTGCAGGTATCCAATTTACTGTGGACAGACGACTTCATAAAAGGTAACTTATTCTCCCACCATTTTGAATGCTTTATACCCTAGAGAACACCTTATGAGTGGCATTGTTTACAGTGGTGTAGAGAACACACAAACTAGACACCTCATCAATGGAGTCACGCCCTCTTTATCAGTGAGATTCATTTCAGTCTGAAAAATGTTTCTCGGACCCATTTGATATGGAGAGAGGTAGAGAAACACTTTCATTCCACTAATACCAGGGAAAGTCACCACCGGGGTGGTCCTGGCATGCATGCATGGAGAGATGTTTATATCTTTATGCTGGTGGGTCATGTTAATTTACTCGGATCTTTATTTTTTCAGTGTATTTAAAGACCTTCGTGTAGATTCCAAAATTACTAATACTATAAATAGTAAGAGATATGCCAAAAGATAAGGAAATTTTAGCCTTACAGGAATCAGGGCTAATAAAACATTTGCAGTAAATTAGAGACAGAACTAAAAGTTGCGAAATCAAAGTGTTACATAGCCAGCAATTCGATAAATAAAATATCATTAAGTTGTAAATTTTCTTTTCTGCTTATGTTGTTATAAATATAAAAATGTACTTGAAACTATAAGTATCGAAATAACTTCTTACATGCTGAAAGTTTCATTTTTGCAACTGAGTATAACTTTAGGTACGCAAGGAACTTTTACATAACTCCTGATTCCGCAGTAACTGTCTTATCAGTAACGAAATTATCAGACAACAGCTTCTTGATATCAGTCATGAGCCAAGAACGTGTTTGGTTGAGGGCACTACATAAAATACTTCGTGAGCAACAAATGATGAAAGACTTTCTTATCTATAGAAACCAGTACCTTTTTCGCTGCAGAGAGAAAGAAAAGCAGATAATTTGTGCTGAACTATTTACTAATTTGGAGTTTATTGTTTAGCTTTCTTTTAAAATATGCAACCCAAAATTTAGAACTGAAAGGCAAATATTTCTTTTTCAGGTAGGAATCATCTAGATCTAACAAGAGTTTTACTGAAAATTCCACTTTTGGATGGTTACAGTTTACTGTTTTTTTTTTTTTTTTTTTTTTTTTTTTTTTTTTTTTTCCTATGAACTTTACTAGAAATTATTTTTACCGTTAGCTTCCCCCCAGTACAGTTTTACCAGAAATGCTTGTAAATTAATCCTTAAAATATTAGAAGTTAGAAATTTTAATTTATGTTTCATACAAAAACAGGATTTAACTTCTTTTTTCACAGTTTACAGTACTTAGAAAATGTAAAAATTTTGTGCCATTACTAATCCTTTGTGTCAAAAAAACAGATGTAAGTTTGTTTCTAAAGAAATTGGTAAGCAAAATTAACAGTAACATTAAATTATGACAAAAATGAAGACACAGAGTTAGAAAGAAATTTCGCATCAGATAGAAGTAAAATTAAATTTTAGAAATGGCTTTGATTAATTAAACAAAGCTGTTATAACTAAAGTGATTAATTCTCATACAGTAACTAAAATGATTAATTAATAATGATTAAAGTGATCGGTTAATAATGAATTAAAATAGAATTAATTAATTGACTGTGGTAAAATGTTAATTAATTGACTGTGGTAAATGTGGTAAAATGTATATTGCAGATTAAGAAAGGCAAAGTTTTTAGTTTCTACCTATAAACACTTTTAATGAGTTCCATCTAGTATATCTGGAACCGTCTCCAAAGGAAATTTGATTGGCCCAATACTATTTTTCACTTATGCGAATGACATAGTACGCTACATTAACATAATACTTCCCATGTATGCTGATGACACAGCAGTTATGACACATGTATCTCTGAGTTCAGACATCCAAGGACTGTAACAATATATCCATTCACAGGAGTCCTGGCTTCAAAAATATAAAACAGCTATTAATGTAGACAAGTCCGAAGCAATTCTTTTCACCAGGAATGAAGTCTGGATTTAAACATGACAGTTACCATGTATAATACAGCCATCCCTTGGGCTAAGTAGATTAAATACTTAGATGCTATTTCAGACCAGAAACTCACATTGAACCCTCCCCCCCCCACACACACACTGCTTCCAAGTTCCGGACTACTAAAATAATGTTCCATGGAACTAATGTAATTCCATGGAACATTACTAACTATTACTACTTATTAGTTAAACTACTACTAAACTAGTACATTAGTTCCATGGAACTAATGTAATAGTTCCGGACTATTATTCCTCTTCATTTCTCGGAACTCAGTTTTATCTGTATATAATAAATTACTTGTGTATAAGGCTATGTTGCAACTCATTATCACGTACGCTTGTCTTGCAAGAGTTTACGTATGAAAACTAATCTTAATAAACTGCAAGTGCTGCAAAGCACAACCCTGAGACAGATAACAATTAGTAGATGATTCATAAGAAGCAGTGCAATCCCCGACGAATATAAAAATTAAAATGATAGCAAAATACATGGCAAAAGTAGTAAAAACATTTTTCAGCAAAACTGAAAGTGCAAACAAAGAAAGTATACCAAAACTAGATTATAACGATAATGTAAATAAAAAGAGACCTGCAGCAGTGCTCCCTTCACTTAGGTTACATTTTTGTGTTTTGTTGCTTATATAATGGCTAAAAACTTGTCTACTTTGTGCTCACTGTTATTAATTTCCCCTGTCCCATTTATTTTTCGTTACTGCTTGACTTAATATTGTTACGGTTTTGTATTTAGTTTGCTATTTTTAGTAGAATTGTTATTAAATTGTTTCATTTCCCGTGCAATGCTGCGAGCGACAAGTTTTAAGAGAAAGCTACTCCGAAAAAGTAAAAATATTTAATATTTAATAAATAGATATCTCATACGAATTATAATAACTGCTCCTACATAATGAAAAATACATACGAAATTTTCAATGCTTCAATATTACTGAACTTGAAAGCTTTTTTGTCTATTTGAAATTTGAAATTGACGGATTCTTTCCCATATGCTTTGAAGTTGTTCTAAGGATAAATAATGTCCAATTATACCTTGCCTTGACACAAAACTAATGAAATATATTTCTTATGATTTAAGGAATTAGAATATATTAAGTCAACTTAAGTTTTAAATAGTATTGACGGTCTAGGTTTCAGAACGATACATCATATCGACTTAAATTCGAACTAATAGAGTGTATTTTTTATTTATTGAACTAATACATTGTATAACTTATGTTAGCTGCATTTAAAGCCAGAACAATTCCTGAATGCCTATCAAGAAACGAACTCTATTTTAAATATTTCACAATAATACCTTCAAAACCAAATTCCATTTGGTTTGATTTGAACTTAAAATAGCATTGTACTTTTTTCAGTCTCAGCATAAAACAGTCTATAAAATATTCAAACCATTTCTGGGCAGAATGTGCCAATGAGAAAGCATCCATGCAACTGTAACCACAAGTCGTTAAGAGAAGTTGGGTGTGAAACGGATGTTTCTATTTGAGTTCTCTATTATCATTCTTGACAGTTTCCTGTTTCCTCAAATTCTGTGAATAACTGAGCGGTGAATGTGTTCCCAAATGAAATGTTGAAGTAGATTAGAAAAATTTCATTCTAATATTATTTCAAGTAATCTCAACTAGAATTCGTTTTATCTACACCGAGGATAATTGCATATTTCCTCTAATCGGGAGTATCTTGAAAAACTAATACTAAAACTAATATAAAAAAAATGCAAAACTATTAACTTGTTGATGAGAACTTCGTAAATGGGAAAATATTCTAAAAATCTGTTTATGTAATATTCGCAATATTCTAATCGACTTAGTTTATATTATCAAGTTCAACAACTTGTAAATGTTCTCACTTAAGAAGCTTTCATAGTACTAAGAACTTTTTCAATACGCTCCATTGAATAAAGTTTTGAAAATGTTCAATTGTTTATGCGTTATGTAATATATATATATATATATATATATTATATATATATTTTGTATAACTTAATCCATTTAGTGCGAATACAAGTATTATTACTTTTGCGCAATTACTGCAATTATAAATAATATTTATTTCCTAAACATATTGATAATTGATTATATTATCTCCTAAGTATAATTAATTTAAAAGTGTGCATCATACTGGTAAGTTATATTTGAAGATTTTTGAAGTAATTTGAAACAAAATGTAATAATGTTTTAACGGGGAACTGGAGTTTCTCATCACGAAGAATAATATTACAATGTAAAATAAAAATTAAAACATGTAATTTTGTCATTGATCGGAAATTAGTGACTTTTCAGGGAACAACCAACTCCCATTCAAGATCAATAATTGATAAAAATACGAAATATGAAAGTGTTTCGTCTTTACTCGAGTTATAAATTAAAGCCAAACCGGCATTCTAGTCAGCCAAATATTTCCGCGAATAGTTGCTACTCAAGAACTTATTCTCATGAAGCTTTTAGTCAATTCAATTTGGAGTAAAAATCACTTAGAGAACCTGTAAAACTCGAGTAACCGTCCCCCGACACTATCATCTTTATGTATTTGAGTACTATATATTTGTAGAAATTAAACATTGGAAATTGTCATTATAAATCGAAATCAAAGTAAAGTTGAAATAACATAGAAGATAATAAAAAAGATATAATGCAAACTTTGTAAAAAAATCAAAGACATAAAAATATATAAAAATAATATAAAAATAGAAATAATATAAGATCAGTTGAATGTACATGAAGATATAAAGGCCAGAAAGGTATTAATTAACTTACATCTTCTAGTGGGGAGTTGCAATGTGTTCTCTTCGTGTCTGACTCAGAAGTAGGGTCCGAAAATTCTTAGCGGCAGTAGGGCTTTGAATATATCAGTCGGTAAGACTTGTGAAGTAATTTATGGTAGTGGGTGGGACTTGGAATTGTAAAAAGCTAATTGTCTTCAGACTCATGCTGTTATACTGTTACTAAAAAAATGGGCCTATTTCATGCCTTTAGACTGTCTACTAGTCTCTAGCTCTTGGACAGTGAAAATTCCTTTTTTTCCTTTTTTAAATTTCTTAATCATTGCGACA